TTCAATCTCTCAAAAAGAAAAAGATATATATATATATATATATATATCGTGAAAACGTTCAATCTCTCAAAAAGAAAAAGAAAAACTATGTGTGCGAATTAGCGTGCGATCAAGACTGTTACACCGCAGCGTTGCGCCTGCAAAGCCGTCGTACTGCTCGATGACAATTCCCCCCCTTCCCGCCCTCAGGGGTTCCCACACCTGCGTTCTTCCTACCTTCCCTACCTTAACGGTTAACTACATCCATTCGGTGACAGTTGGCCGTACAAGTGATGCGGTTTGCAGCCGCGGATTTTGAGACAGTACACCTCCAATCAAATTAATGGCGGACCGCATCACCCGTTTGCCTTGTGCGTTTCTTAAATAAAAACGGGCCTGTAGGGATATAAAATTGCCGTGACCTTTTTAGGCTTCAATGAGCCCGGATCCTACCTACTTATTTGGGGTGGGAAAATGAGGGGGTTGTGTGCTGCGCGGGGATACCAACGGCCGTTATGGAAGCTGGCGCAGGCGGCCCCGCTCCTGTATTGTTTATGTGGACCATATTATAGTCAGCATAAACATTACAGAGATTGTCCAGTGTAATTTTAGTTTACTACAGCTAGCTGCCCAGTTCATCTCAAACACCTACAACTTCCAACAGTCTGCCGGCCTGAAGCCTGCACGGCCGTCTACCTTCCTATCCGTACTTTTCCCGGTGTGTCGCCGCAACACCACCACGGCACACACTTTCACAACGCAAAGCATGGTGGCGCTTGTGCGTTCCGCCAAGCTCGCAGGGAACTACTGGCATGACAACAAATCCCCCTGCACACACACACACACACACACACACACACACACACACACACACACACACACACACAGTCTGCACACAGAGACAGCTATCCCGGCATCCTATCCGTAGGCATCAATTTGGTTTTGATCATTCCATACAAGTCATTGATAATCAACCTGTTCAGCAGTACGTTGGACCAGCAGTCAGACCCGGAATCCGACGGCGTGGTGCGACCTGCCGCCGCTGGGAGCCCTCTGCGCCAAGAGCCATAACCAGCCTATACTATGTGAAAACTTCGTAAGGTTTCCGTACTTTTACTGCTATCTCATTCCTTTTTTAAACCCTGGTCCCAACTCCTTAAAGCCCCCGCGCAAAGCTCCTTATTCTTGTAGGTGACCCTTACAAGGATTATATATATCATTATTTTGCTGCTGCTTGGCCGATGGTGCCGGAGAGAGGGGCATGGGCCTCGTACTTCCGCAAGCCCTGTAAGCCCGTAAGCCTCTGGCCAGACAGCCCATGAATTGGACTAAGAATCAATTGGAGGCGAGTATGGTTCATACCTGCCGTACGGGAACATGTAACACGTAAACAAGCAATTATGTGACATGAACAGGTGTACGACGGATGACGGGACAACAACACGCGTGTTTCGGTTTAGGTGATGGGTCGAGCGGTATGTGTCAGCGGCGGGTGCAGCGGGGGCGGTCGTGGTGATTGCGGCGGTGGAGTTTGGGGCAGCGGGCAGCCGCAGCGGCGGCAGCAGCGCCAGCAAAAGGCGGGCGCTTTTGCAATGTAATGTCTTACGGAGTTGGAGGCTGACCAATCTGTCTGGACTGGGCTGCGGCGCGGAGCTGGGGTTGAACAAATGCACCAGAAGTCGATAGGATATACAAACCTGGTCCGCTACGAAGGGGCGTCTTGGTTAGATGTGGTCTGCGTCCGTTCGTCTTCTTTGGGTTGGGCTGTCCTTCAGGGTAACCGGCATTTGTGCTGAAATGAAGTCGTCATATAGAGGCTTGAATAATACGAACTTGATTTTTTCTCGGGACCTGTAATGTGGCATTGGGCGCTTAGGTTCTTACCCTGGGCCCCAGCGAGCCCGACCCAAAGTCGTACGAGTCTAAAATTCTTGGTGACATCATTTAAATATAATAAATATAAATTGAGAAGATAATGATATGCAATAGATCAATCCCTAGGGATCTGGGCGTTGTTGGAGGCTTGGGCGAAGGCCGAACGGGCGACCTGGGAACGACCTAAAATCCAAACCATATGTTGGGTGATAGGTTGAATGGTTAACGTAACCATAAAATTGATTTATATGTATAAAAGGTATGAAACGCTCCTAAGCCATCATAGCTGTGCAAGAGACATGGAAGTACGGAAGGTGAGGAATCGCCGGCCGACAAAGCGTAGCCCCGAATCCAAAGGGTCCAATTGTCTTTATTACATTTTTAACAAGTCCACGAGTTTCGTTTATGTTTATTGTATACGTTGACGGAGTTTAGCACAGATTAAATCATGTTTGGAGCGTCGCCGGTAGCGCTCGGTACCTATGTCGACCCAATATGGCAGTCATGAAGGTTCACTAGGATGGATTGGAGGTATAGCGAGCTGCTTACACTCTAATCTGTGCGCTTGGAGTGCATTCTGGATTTAGCGCCAACCGTCCCGACTTCGCAGGGTCCTTGAACTGCTTCATGTTTTGGATGAGGGCGCCTACGGGGTTGTATTATCCGTCAGACATCGTCGTAATGGCGAGCTATATGCGGTGAAAGCGGGCAAGCATGCAAGTGCGGACCCAAGGGTAAGCTATGATGCTGTAACGGCCTCGACGGACCGACTGTCGACTTCCTGACCCGTTTCAGAATCTGGGCTCTCCTGTTATCAACATTGATTTGTCTTATATTATCTTGGGTCAACTCTATGCCAGATTATGATGTTGCTGGGCCCCAACGAACTTAACCCATTACAATGTCATGCACAGGTTATGCTACAAACGCTGCGCGAGGTTAAAATCTTGCGCAGCATTGGTAACCACCCGAACGTTGTACACCTTGCTGATGCGTTCCGCTCGGAGGAGGAGCACATTTATTTGGTCTTTGAGATGGCGCATTGCGGGCTTCACAAGGTACGTTCCGAGAGGCAAGGGCAACAAAGGAAGCAACCCACCACACATGAACTCATATGCGCATATACTCTGGTATTTTCCAACACCGTCTCTGCTCCGAAACCCCCAATACGGCATGTCCAGTTCTTACGACGAGTAACCCAGGCCAGCCAAGACAGTCCCAGTTTCCCCCTACTGCAGTTTAATATAACGCGATCTAATTTATTAGCCCCATACATGCCAGGGCATTTCGGGGTTCCCATCTCCCAGCTCCCCATCGCCGCGCGCGTGCCTGTTGCCCGGCCGCGAGCCGCCATGCTGCCCACCATCAGCCGCCATCAGCCCTCCAAAGGTGTAACCTCATAAACCCCGGCCCCCATTACACACACACACGGAGCCCTTGTGAGGGACCCAAGGGACCCTGAGGGGCCCTGAGGGCCGCATCAGATAGCTCAAGTAAGACAAAGCGTAAGGAAGACTGCTGTACTATCATTCAAAATGGAAAAAATGTTATGTGGTGGGTTATGTTAGGGTAACATGCGAGGACATATCACGGCGCGGTGGTTCGAGGGCGGCACACTCTTCGCCTCGTCATGCCATCACGTGCATCACGTACGTGCGTACGTACGTGCTGCGCTGCACTGCGCCATGCTGTGATGTGATGTGCCTGCTATGATGTGCTGTGCGGCGCGCGGCCCCTTGTGTCGTGCGCAGCAGCTTGGTCGAGCTGGGGATCATTACCCCCCCTTACCCCCCCTTACCCCCCCTTACCCCCCCTTACCCCCCCTTACCCCCCGAAAAACACATTCTGAGGGAAATTCCGGGAAATTCGTTCGGAAATGAAACACGCTCGCACGGGATCGATAAAAAATCAGGTGGTCTCAACGGTCTCGACTTGGTCCATTTGTTTATTTGTAGATGGGCCCCTTAAACATCGCACGTCGTACACCACCGCCCTCAGGGGGTTGCCGCCCTCAGGGGGTTGCCGCCCTCAGGGGGTTGCCGCCCTCAGGGGGTTGCCGCCCTCAGGGGGATGCCGCCCTCAGGGGGTTGCCGCCCTCAGGGGGGTGCCGCCCTCAGGGGGTTGCCGCCCTCAGGGGGGTGCCGCCCTCAGGGGGGTGCCGCCCTAAGGGGGGTGCCGCCCTCAGGGGGGTGCCGCCCTCAGGGGGGTGCCGCCCTCAGGGAGGTGCCGCCCTCAGGGGGGTGCCGCCCCCTCTCCTCACCGGCTGGAACCCTCGTACGCCGTACCTCCTCACCTCTCCACTTTTTGCTTTGCTTTGGAACTTTGTGGTTTGTGGCTTGGATCCCTAAGGCATCCCCCTCTAGCTGCACCTAGTCATCCCCCTCTAGCTGCACCTAGTCATCCCCCTCTAGCTGCACCTAGTCATCCCCCTCTAGCTGCACCTAGTCATCCCCCTCTAGCTGCACCTAGTCATCCCCCTCTAGCTGCACCTAGTCATCCCCCTCTAGCTGCACCTAGTCATCCCCCTCTAGCTGCACCTAGTCATCCCCCTCTAGCTGCACCTAGGCATCCCCCTCTAGCTGCACCTAGACATCCCCCTCTAGCTGCACCTAGTCATCCCCCTCTAGCTGCACCTAGTCATCCCCCTCTAGCTGCACCTAGACATCCCCCTCTAGCTGCACCTAGTCATCCCCCTCTAGCTGCACCTAGTCATCACCCGAGCGGCCCTCATCTGACTTCATGCTGCTGCAGCATTCGCACCAAACCGTGTCATGAGGTGATCTCCATCCGTACACTCCAATCGTAATCGCACAGCCTGCCATCCTGCCATCCATCCTTGTCCTTATCCGTATCCATCTGGGGGCACACATCCACCACTGCAGGAGTTGGAGCGGCTCCCGGGCCGCCTGCTTCCCGGTCCCACTCTCAAACTGGTCGCCTGGCAACTGCTTCACGCCCTGCTGCACTGCCACGACCGCCAGGTGGGCTGGTCCTGCTGGCTGGGTCGGGTGGGGTGGGGGGGAGGGGGAGGGGAAAGGGGAGAAAAGAGCCGCGTGTTTGTATATGGATCGGGGTGTGCGTGTGTGCGTGTGTGGCGAAGATTCCAGATCAAGGAACCCAATCCCGGCCGGGCGCCAATCCGGTGTGTGTTGGGGTTCGCGTGCTTGTATGTGGGTCAGTTGTGTGTGCTTATATGTGGGTCAGTTGTGTGTGCTTATATGTGGGTCAGTTGTGTGTGCTTGTATGTGGGTCAGTTGTGTGTGCTTGTATGTGGGTCAGGTGTGTGTGCGTGTGCGTGCAGGGGACCCTCGAAAAGCTGCCAATCCTGAGGCGGTTCTGTGTTGGGTATTTGGGTGTCTGTTTGGGCCGAAACAAGCACCAACATGTACGCGAGTGGTGAACTTCTGCATATCCTACCACAATATACGGGCAGTATACCTCGTCTAATTGCTGCAGGCTCATGCTTCCCTGCACGGCAAAAGTTGGTTGACAGCATTGACTGTTCGTACACGCACCGACTGTCCGTACCTACTGGCTCTGAAACCGCAGGTCGTACATCGGGATGTGAAGCCAGCCAATGTGCTCGTCTCCAGGGCTATCGCGCCACCTTGCCCCGGTTCCGAAACCACCACCTCACACGGGGCGGCGGACGCTGCAGTACGGCAGTGCCGTGACGGCGCCGTATGCACTGCAGGACAACACAGTACCAAGCAAGCCGCTCACGCCGCCTCCGCCGCCTCGGCCGCCGCTGTGCCTGTCGCCGCTGCGCCGCTCATCAAGCTGTGCGATTTCGGTTTCGCCCGGCACGTGCACTGCTCGGAGCCGTGGTACGGCGAGCGTTACTCGACGTACGTCGTGACACGCTACTACCGGGCCCCTGAGGTAGGACGAAGCCCTAGGGGGTGGCTCTCCCCTTGACAAAGTACTTCACACGCTCTTAGCAGCAAACGGAGTCATTGTAAGTAGGGAAAGAAAACCCCAACAAGTGGGCCCACTGCTGAGAGCCCACCGGCTTCAGGGCCCCAACCAACCCAACCAACAAAATAACAACTTACTGAACCAATCAATCCAGCCCCCTACAACACAACTGCCGTACCTCCCCAGGACGTACACCTGCCGTATTCCTGCCCGCGTTCATTCTTTAGTTAAAGGATTATAGATGAGGGGTTGAATCTCCTTGCCTCTCCCTTCATGAGTCCTGTGGGGAAATCTATGAAGGGGAATAATCTACAGAATATCCGGTCATTGATATCGCAGGGTGCGATACTAGGTTTTAGGGGTTTCACGATTTGGGGGTTACGGAGATTTGGGTTCGCTTTCATTTTCGTTGTGAAGGAGTCAAATCTCTAAGAAAGGTACTACACACTACCGGAAACTTGCAGGTGCTCGTCGGGTGCAAGTACGGCACATCCGTGGACATCTGGTCGTACGGTTGCACGCTTGCGGAGCTAGCGACTGGGAGGCCTCTGTTTCCAGGTGAGTGACTGGCAACGTTTAATTATGCGCCCAAATCCCTTCCTTCCGCTATCGTTAGCTCTGAGTCATGTCGTACGCCCGTCGTACATTTGTCGTACCACCCCCAATGCCGTGTACCTGCCGCACACCTCATCTTGGGTCCCTTTGAAGACACCAAAGAATTCATTGACCTGAAGAATCGTACAATAATCTCAGAGCCCCAAACCCCAATCCCAACCCGTCCCGCGGTTCCTGCGGCACGTGCTTCATATCTGTACGGCAATCGAGCGCCGTCCGCAATAACGTCACGTGCCGCAATGCCTTGCGTACTGCCTGCTCTGTGCCTCCTAAAATCCTAACCAGGCAACTCCACCCTGGACCAGCTGGATCTCATCACTCGCTGTCTAGGGCCGCTGACCCCTCTTCAGATGGAGGCCCTCGGCCAGCATGCCCATCTGGGCCCGATGTCGGTGCAGACTCTGCATGGCCGGCGCACCACGTCACTCCAGGCGCTGCTGCCGGTATAAGAGGGCGCCGGAGGTTGGGGGTTGGAGGTTGGCGGTTGCTTTTGGGATGGTTGCGGCTCGTGTGCCGGAATGGGTGCCGGAAATTGAAGTAGCTATCTTACGTAATTGTGTGATAGTACAGCAGTCTTCCTTACGCTTTGTCTTACTTGAGCTATCTGATGCGGACAGCCCTCAGGGCCCCTCAGGGTCCCTTGGGTCCCTCATCAGGGCTCCGTGTGTGTATGTGTAATGGGGGGCCCCCCGGGGTTTATGAGGTTACACCTTTGGAGGGTAGTTATGCAGCTCAGGAAGGTGTCGCACACGCACATACACACACGCACACGCACATAATGGTAGTATGCGTCGTTACAGGGTAATGTGTAGTTGGCACACCCGGCATACACACATATCAAACATAGCCACTACACTCTGTCTGTCTGCCTGTCTAACAGTCTGTCTGTCTGCCTGTCTGCCCGATGATGATTTTCGTGGATTGTCGGCGTTGGCTGTGATGGGGCTGCGACGCTGTGTGTGCTGGCAAAGCCCGGATTACCCCTGCTGGTAGTAGCAGGGGAGGAGAAAATGGAGGGAAACGAACACGAAGACGGGGGGGGCATGAGGGGAGCGCGGAGCGTTGTTGTCGGAATCTGCTTCAGGCGTTGCAGCGATAGCCGACTTTGCCGAGAGTCATAGCACCTGTAGTACAAGTAAACCCCCCACCCCCGATATATTGAGGAGTTTTGCAAGTCTAAGAAACAACGTCGTGATAACAATATTCCCGCATCTGTCGCAGGGAGTGGAAAGCCAGCTGTTGGAGGTCATTGCAGCATGTCTCGAGCTTGATCCTCGCCGCCGGCCCGCCGCCAGGCGCCTCCTCAAAATGCCGTACTTCAATGATGTGCCAGGAATGTTAGTCGGCACGGACCTGGAGTATCTCCTGCGCTCGTCTAACGCAGCCGCAGCTGCGGTGGCGGGTTCAGCGATCGCGGCGGTGCCGTCAGCGGCGACGGCAGCGCGGCGGTCGCATGTCGCGAGCTGCATGCCGCCGCGACCAGTCTCTATGCCTTCCGTGCCCAATGACTTGCCATCTCGTAGGAGCACGCGCTACAGCTTTCATCATGCCGATAGGAGCCACGAACGATCCAGGCAGTCGTACCTTGCGCAACCTGACAACGCGTGTAGCGGTAGCACCGTTGGTGGTGCTGGCGGCGAGGGCTGTTTTGGCGGCGGCGGCGGCGGCGGCAGTGGCACAGGAGAAGATGGCCACGAAGCACAGGCTGAAAAACTGTGCGCCAGCGCCGCTAGCGGCGCCGGTAGTGGTGGCGGCGGCGACGGCAGCACTCGGATTTGCTGCACCATTAGCCGCGTTCCGAGCGCAACCAAAGATGACGGTGCCGGCGGCGGAGGCGGCGGCGATACTTGGCGTGGGAGCGGCTGCAGCGGCGGCGGCGATGGCGGCGGCGGCGGCGGCACCGCGCGTGGATGCGGCGCTAGTAACCTTTCCATCGCCACAAGCGCACCCGAGCCCTCTGCAGATCGCTTCCCCCGCAATGGCGACGGCGGTGGTGGCGGCAGCGGTACGGAAGCCATATGCGGTGTGCTCACAGCGTACGGCATGCAGACCTCGCTCTCCAGTAACTTCGACATTCTACGCCCCGACGCCGGAGTTGAACCGGTGACGCCGCCCCGTGGCTCAGGTGTTGATGCGGAGTGCCTGCCGGCGCCACCCACCAGCGCTGGCTGTGCCGTACCTTCCGACGCCGCGGCTGCTCTCGCCGCGGAAGATGCCACCGCTGCTGAAGCTGAAATCGGGGATAGTTTCGGGCCCGCCGAATCGCTCAGCCGCCCCGGTACGGGTTTCAGCTCGGAAGCGCCCTGTCATAGCGCCGTAATTTGTGCTGTCGAGGTGCCGTTGCGCTGTAAAAACACGGATGATGCAGAAAGGGCAGCAGCGACGGCGGCGGCGGTGGCGCAGCTATCGCAACCTGCAGCAGCAGCACACACAGGAACGGAACCGCCGCCGCCGGCTGCACCGCCGCCTCCAAGTACGACAGCGGTGGCAACGGCGGTGGCCGTGGGGCCAGCTGCGGCTGCTGCAGGAACTGCGAAATTAGAGGCAAGGAGCGCAGCAGCAAAGGCAGCGGCAGCGCCGCTGCCGCCCCCGTTGCCGCCCTTGCCACCGCCGCCGCCGGCACTGCTCAAAAGCACCTCCTTCGGGGTGTCGTACTCAAAGGATAATAGCGGGGCCGGCAGTGCCCTGCACGTACGGCCGCGTTCGCAAAGTCGCAGCCAAGTTTGCGGCGGACGGGGCCAGACATCTCGCCGAAACCCAGCGGCGGCCTCGCGGACGTGCAGCCCCATCCGCTTTAACAACGCCGCCGTACGGCAGCGGCCGAGTATCTCCACTGCCGTCACCACCTTGACAGCAGCCAGCTACGGCGACAGCTGTTGCGGCGGCGGGAGCAGCACCGCTGCGCGCCCTGCAGGGCCCAGCAGTAGCACGTCGCTGGCAGACGTCGGGCCAGGCAACTTGGGCGGCGGTGGCTGCACCGCCACCGCCACCGCCACCGCCACCGCCGGCGCTGTAGCCGCCGCCGCTTCAAGAAGCACCATGGATTCGGCTCCATTGACAGCTTGTACGACGACACGGTGGAGTGGTGCGGAATGGCTGTCTAGCGACGACGGCTATTGTCCTGTCGGTGTCGCCGGTTTGCGGGTTAGCAGCAGCGTACGGCAGTACATCTGGAGCGGTCTTTCACGTACAGTTGCGCCGGACAGCGTCGCATTGATCTCCGAGACCAATATACGGCAGAGCATGGAGCACAGCACTGACAAGGACGCGCCATCTCATACGCAAGTACGGCAGCATTCCTCGCGCAAGGCCTCCTCTGTCGCCGTCATCGGCTCTGCCCGCGTCGACGACTGCACAGCAGCAGCAGCAGCAGCCCCTTGTGCCGTACGCATCT